TCATATATTTTATCTTAGGCTGAAACAATTAATCATATTAATCAATTATTTGAATGATTGTCAGCTAATTTATTAATTGATTAATCGTTAACTGGAGTATAGGGCCACTAAAATGTGTCTTTAGCCGGCAGAGCGACCCACAGACCAGGAATTATACAACGATTGTAAAAAATAATATGTAAACATTTTGCATTTAAGATTTAAAAAAAAACTCCTCAAGAGGAAACATTTCTGTTTCACCTGGTTTAATTTCGTAAAGAATCTTCTTTAAGGAACCTTCTATCTGATTATTAATCAATTCATCTAAAAAATTATTAACATATTAATCAATTTGCTAAATAATCATTAGTTGCTGCACTAATTTTATGGTAACATTCCAAACACATTTCTTCCATAATACTGAAGGGCTGCTTCAGCTGAGGCTGCCCTGCATCTTTATATCTGTTTCCTACAATCATATAATGTTTCTATTATACAAGTGGGTTTTTAATAGTAAAGGATTAAATGTAACACAACCTTTTATAATCATCCTATATTGCTACTGTCTGACTGTTTAAATAGCTCCTTATGTCTATTTCATTTTTTAGTGGCATCATCTACAAACACAACACTGAGAATGAGCCTAAGTTTATTCAAATATAAAATCACATTTAACAATTATAAAAGACAATATAACACTATCTTATCTGTAATTTAATAGTATCCAAAATAAACAGCCAGATTCCAGCATTATTTACCAGACATTAATGTTTGTACTAATTTACTTATGGACTGTGTGGAGAAAAATAGAATCGGTGTAAATAGAGTTCCTCTGTTTGTCTTTATTCTATTTCTAGAAGTAGAAGTCAATTAAATAGAACTATTTTTATGTGGAAAACAAAAAGTAGCAGATCTTTAGCATCTTTCTCGTTTTGTTATGATCTACAAAAGAGATAAAACCTGTTTATACCTGAACTGCCGTCAAAAATGAAAACAGTAACAGTAAAGAAATATTGGTGAAAGGGAATCAGAAAAGTTGATAGTTTAAAGTCTTTATTCATTTTAACAGCAGTTTTCTGAACTCCTGTCTGACTCAGAATATTTAGTTTTATAAAGAAATCCTAACGCTGGTTACTTTAATTTCTCAAGTTTCACAAATCCAAACTCTCTCCTGCTTCTTTACAGAACTGCAATCAGAAGCTTTCGCCTGTTTTAGCCCAGATGATATTGGATTTTTTAATTGGGACTAGTTTGGTAGCCTAATATTAATTTTGGTAACGGCTGTATTCTGGCGTCATTTTTTTTTTTAAATATATTTCGCGCTCCAAGCGCGCACACGCATACAAACTAGAAAACAAGACAAACTCAGAAAGAGAGAAGAAGGAAAATCAGAGAGTTAAACAGCGCAGCACAGTTGAGGCGCTGCTATATGAAAGTTACAGGAAAGAGCAGGCAGCTGCAGCTACCAGGCAGAGGAGCTCTGAGAGGAAAAGACGCCACTGCTGCAACAACTACTGCTGTTAATTATAACCATGTTGTATAAACATGTTATTCAAATCGAATTATTTGTAGGGACAAATAGGTCCATCCAAAATTTTGGTAGGGACATGTCCCTGTGGTCCCTATGCAAACCTGCGCCCATGGCTGAGCTTTATTAAAACATGTGTTGATATCAGTGGAAACATTGAAAATATATTTTTATGTAGTTCTGTTCATTTGATCCTCAGTTTGTTTTTGTTTTATTTGAGTATAAGTTCACTTTAAGTTTTGATTATTGAAAAAAAAATCTAAAAAAGTTTTATTAAAACACAATTTTAATGTAATAATCATTGCTTCTTTATTGTAAGTATTTGTTTATAACAGCCTTAACAGGCTATATAGATGGAGGCTATTTGTTGTGATGAATGTTACATTAATGGATGATAAATTAATTAAGGTGGAAAATAATCCACAAATCAAATATATATTCAGTATGTTGCATAATACTAACCTGATACCATACATCTCCATCAGTAGTAGAAACTCTGTACAGCTTTACTACAGACTTTTAACCATCAGCACCGTCCCTCTGATCCACAATCCAAGGGAGGAGGTGTTCTTCTTGAACGCAACTCGTTTCCAGTGAAAGTGGAGCAACAGCAGCTGCTTCTGTTTCCTCCCACAGAGGTGTAACGGTTCTGATCCGTTTCTAACAGTAATCCTCAAACTGATCATAGGAAGCAGATGGAGGAAGGTTCTGATGAAGATAGTTGGATTTATTTCTGCAAAGGTTTTTAGCTTCAGTCTCTGGATGATTTAATGCTGTGAAAAATACCTCCCTCACTATTTATAGGAAGAACTTTGCTACAAAGAGAAGAGGAAAACAATGAAACTTTAGGAGGGGAGAATGAATGAACCAGAACCAGTTTAAATAGATCAACATAGAGCTGTTTGAGGAAGGGAATCAGTTTGAACCACTAGATACAAAGTGAAGCTGCATGTTTAACGGTATAAATATAAATCCTACTGTCTAAAAACACCAAAGTCGGTCCTTGAGTCCCGCTGTCCTGCAGAGGTCTTTAGAGCTTTCACTGCTTTAGCACTGATGATTGCAGTTCAGAAAAAGCCTGTTGATAAGCTATCAATGAAAATCAGCTGCTGGAGCAGAGAAATCTCTAGAACCTGCAGGACAGCGGCCCTCGAGGACCGTCTTTGCCATGAGTTAGAGTATCAACTTAAGCTTTTTACTCAAGTAAAAGTGTAAAAGTACCATTTTTAAAACTACTTTAAGTATAAAAGTAATACAGGAAAAATGTTAAGAAATATGCTTTAGTGCACTATCCTATTAAATCAATTTTTTTCTATAACTCTGGATAATAACTTCCTTATACTTAATTTGATTAGTTTTATACTGTAACTAATGGCAACAGTATCAAATTTAACTTTGCATCATCTTGAAAAACTATTAATTTTGGTACATTATGTGACAAGTTGGTGCAGCACTGAGTCCAACGACAAAGAAATTAATTGTCTGGATGAAACCATTTATTTGGATGGTTTTATTTTTTTGAGCGAAAAGAAAATTAGCTTAAATGAAACAAAACTATCAAATCAGTATAAAGTATATATACTTATGTAAATTTAAGATAACAGCAAAATAAAAAACCCAAACGAACCCGGTGACGGCAGCCTGGATACCAGGGCGGCCCCGTGCCAGCCTAACCGGGCAGGCGGGGGGAAGTATACTGGACCAGCCCCCGAGCTGATGCTTTGGTTCGGTTGCTCCGTCCCCTGCTGCCTTTCATCCCTTTAGGGTGAAAACTGGCTCAGAGCTCATCTGCTTAATCGTTTCTTTGGCAGACAGAGCCACCTATGGAGCAATTAAGCATATGAGCTCTGAGCCAGTTTTCACCCTAAAGCAGGCATCCCCAAAGTCGGTCCTCGAGGGCCGCAGTCCTGCAGGTTTTAGAGGTTTCTCTGCTCCAGCACAGCTGATTTACATTGATAGCTGATTAACAGGCTTTTGCTGAACTGCAATCATCAGAATCAGCTGTGCTGAAGCAGAGAAACCTCTAAAACCTGCAGGACTGTGGCCCTCTAGGACCGACTTTGGAGATGCCTGCCCTAAAGGGATGAAAGACAGCGGGGGACGAGCAACCAAACCAAACCATCAGCTCGGGGGCTGGTCCGGAAAAGGTAGTTGTAAATTAGCTCCATAGATGGGCGGCCCCGTGCCAGCCTAACCGGGCAGGTGGGGGGAAGCATACCGGACCAGCCCCCGAGCTGATGGTTTGGTTCGAATGCATGGTCCGGCTCAGTGGGCAGCCCCCCCCAAAAAATTGTCCTCCTTTTAAGAAAGCCAAATCTGGTCACCATAGATATGCTAGCATTGCTATCAACAGCTTTCTGACAAAATAATACTTACAGCTTGCAGTTGTGATGGCCTTACGGTCGGAACAGCCCCTCCTTTCAGTAAAAGTAGTTTAGCAAATCCGGCATTGAAATGTCCAAGATTATGAAAGCTGTCTTCGGTAAAATGCTTAGAGCAAATGAACAGCTGAGCATCAAACTTTGCAGTGATCGTCTGATGTAAGGAGTAGAAATAAAAAGTTTTCTAAAAAAAATAATTACTCCAATAAAGTATAGGTAGCCAAAAGTTCTACTTAAGGAAGGTAACAATTTGTACTTTGTTACTGGACATTTCTGCTTATACTTTCACCAAGTTAAAGTGATAGAGTCTGATCTGAGGTTAATATCAAGAAATAAAGTCATGTTTGTTTCCATTCAGAGACTGAAACTCTTAGTGAAGCATTAGAAACATTAGAAACATTAGAAACTTCTTTATTCTATGCTTATTTCTGAACCAAGCATTTAATCTGCTCTGTGTTTTAAAAAAATGTTGGAGTGTTTGAACTGTATCTAATATACAGTCGTATGTTTACATTATTATAATCTGCTTACCTTTATCACGGCTGCACTTTATAAAATGAAATATCTGTACTGAGCAAAATTTATTTTTGTATACACTGTGTTTACAAAATGATAATACAGTGTGTCTAAGTCTAAAGGTTACAACCTCATTATGCTGCAATAATAAAGTTAGCAATGACTGAATACCTACTGAGTATTGGAAATGATCTGAACTATTATGTTATTGTGGTAAATAATTGTTATTTACAACAACAATAATTATTAACTTCATATATATATATATATATATATATATATATATAGATAGATAGATAGATAGATAGATAGATAGATAGATAGATAGATAGATAGATAGATAGATAGATAGATAGATAGATAGATAGATAGATAGATAGATAGATAGATCATGAATAGTACTGCATTTTTAGGAAAGAAAAAAAAAAATCAAACCAAACCTGAAAAATAATGTTTTTTTTCATTATAAATCTTCCTGTGGTCAATTAAAACCTTTTTTTTTTTACTTGAATAGATATTATCTATTTCATGTTTTTTTTTCTATAGTTTGATTTTAGTAAAAGCAGTTAATTATGAAATTCTTACTGATGTTTAATAATGATGATGAATTCATTTCAATAATAATGATGATGACTCTCCTCCTCTGTCTCCTCTCCTCAGGAGAAGATGATCTCCAGGATCCTGCTGCTCATCATCATCAACTCATGTCTCTGTGGTCAGTTTCCATCTTCCCTTTGTTCTAAATCCATCAATAATCAGTGAAAAGTCTGTCAGTGAAGGTAACACTTCAATCCTCCAGCTGCATTTGATCAAGCAGTTTGACTAGAAGAGAATCAAGCAGAGCTCTGACAGCACAGAGACCATCATGAGACAGAAACCTCTAGAGATGGAGTTTAAAGACTCCCATGTTCCAGTTCTCAGTGTGTCTGCTCCTCTCTTTCCCTCTCTGTCTCCTCAGCAGCAACATTTGTAGTGAATGTGACACAGAGCTCCTATCAGGCAGAGGAGAACCACAACATCACTCTGGAGTGGACCTTCACCACCAGACCCAACAGAACCTGGACACAACTGTTTATATTATGTGAACTATTAGCTCCTCCCAATTCCTCTGTCCTCTATCATGTCCATGATGGTGTTGAGGTGTCAAAGTCTCAGGATGAACATTTTTCAGGACGAGTCCAGAGTGACAAAGACGTCCTCAGAGAAGGACGAATCAGACTCCATGTGTCCAGACTGAGGACTGAAGACTCTGGTCTGTATCTCTGTGATGTAAAGACTGATGATGGCTTCAACTCTGGAAGATGTTACCTTAACGTCTCTGGTGAGTTTGAGCTTCAACATCTGAATCAACCAGGGACTTTGTCCATTCTTGGTTTTGTGTTCTTTTGAATGGAACAGCACTAGGGCTCACAAGCACAATAGAACGCAAAAGTACACATATTGACAAATGTCAGTTGACTACAGCAGGACCTCACACCAAACATGCATACAGTGACAGTGGAGAGAAAAAAAGAAACTTCCAGCAGAACCAGGCTCAGTGTGAGCGGCCATCTGCTGAGGCCAACTTGGGTTCAAGGAGACAGAAGCAAAGATACTAATGAAACATAGAGGCATTGATCTATAATTACTCTCTTTGCTAGAAAAGGTAATTGTAAATTAGCTCCATAGGTGGCTCTGTCTGCAAAAGAAACGATTAAGCAGATGAGCTCTGAGCCAGTTTTCACCCTAAAGGGATGAAAGACAGCGGGGGACAGAGCAACCCAACCCAACCCGGTGACGGCAGCCTGGATACCAGCGCGGCCCCGTGCCAGCCTAACCGGGCAGGCGGGGGGAAGTATACCGGACCAGCCCCCGAGCTGATGGTTTGGTTCGGTTGCTCCGTCCCCTGCTGCCTTTCATCCCTTTAGGGTGAAAACTGGCTCAGAGCTCATCTGCTTAATCGTTTCTTTGGCAGACAGAACCACCTATGGAGCAATTAAGCAGATGAGCTCTGAGCCAGTTTTCACCCTAAAGCAGGCATCCCCAAAGTCGGTCCTCGAGGGCCGCAGTCCTGCAGGTTTTAGAGGTTTCTCTGCTCCAGCACAGCTGATTTACATTGATAGCTGATTAACAGGCTTTTGCTGAACTGCAATCATCAGAATCAGCTGTGCTGAAGCAGAGAAACCTCTAAAACCTGCAGGACTGTGGCCCTCGAGGACCGACTTTGGAGATGCCTGCCCTAAAGGGATGAAAGACAGCGGGGGACGAGCAACCAAACCAAACCATCAGCTCGGGGGCTGGTCCGGAAAAGGTAGTTGTAAATTAGCTCCATAGGTGGGCGGCCCCGTGCCAGCCTAACCGGGCAGGTGGGGGGAAGCATACCGGACCAGCCCCCGAGCTGATGGTTTGGTTCGAATGCCTGGTCCGGCTCAGTGGGCAGCCCAGCAGCCCCCCCCAAAAAATTGTCCTCCTTTTAAGAAAGCCAAATCTGGTCACCATAGATATGCTAGCATTGCTATCAACAGCTTTCTGACAAAATAATACTTACAGCTTGCAGTTGTGATGGCCTTACGGTCGGAACAGCCCCTCCTTTCAGTAAAAGTAGTTTAGCAAATCCGGCATTGAAATGTCCAAGATTATGAAAGCTGTCTTCGGTAAAATGCTTAGAGCAAATGAACAGCTGAGCATCAAACTTTGCAGTGATCGTCTGATACACAAAAATAATTCATGTCTTCCGTGTCTTTGGATCCTTGGCAAGTCAGTGAAAATATTCTCCTTTCTCCGTGCAGCCTAGAGCACTGCATTTACGCCAACGTTTCTGGCTCATTGTCAATAGGGAAACTGCCTGCTTTGTAATTCTTGTAGAAGTAAACCCAACTATAGGCTAAACAGCTAAACTGGTGTCTTACATCTACCTTTATTCATGTTCTTGGGCCAGTGAACCAGTGGGCTGGTCTGTATGTTAATTTTGGGGCATGATGAAAGTATAGGCCAGAACCAAATAAGGCAACATTCCTGAATTGACGTCAATTCAGGGCTTCATTTGGATTTGCTTTTTTTATGGTGGAAGTTTAGACTTGCGAGATTTGCAGAGAAAGGAGGTGTCGATGGGGTTTGAACTTCTCTGTCCGTCCTTTTCACCCACTGAGCTATCGGTATTCATCTATGACAATGCAAACTCGGTTTTGCATTTTATGACCCCTTTAAGCGTTGCCTTAAAAGTTGACAGGATGTCTGCCTCACAGACTACAGTAAAACTGGTAGTTGGTTCCACAGGAGAGGAGCCTGATAACTGAAAGATCTGCCTCCCATTCTACTTTTAGAAATTCTAGGAACCACTAGTAAACCTGCAAATAGAAAACAAAGTGCTCTGTTAGGAACATTAGGAAAGATTAGATCTCTGATATAAGATAGAGCTTGGCAATTCAAGGCTTTATATGTGAGAAGGAGGAATTTAAATTCTATTCTGGATTTAACATGAAACCAATGAAGAGAAGTTAGGTGTTGTGGAATAAAAGTATTCAACTGTTCACCCCAGTTAAATAAATGGAAACCGATGGATTTCACTCAGTCAGAACTTTAGTTTGATCTTTGCAAAGAGAGAAAAGTTCATCATACAGCCCTTATTGCTTGATAATCAGCCCTGTTCTGCCTGGGCAGAGTGTGTTCCCCTTACTTACAACAGTGGAAAGTAGTCAGAATCAAAACAAATTATAGACACTTTGGTTAAACAGTAACATGTTATGAATAAACCTTGAGAAAGAATCTGGTTTGTTTTGGGAAGAAGCTATGTACGGTCTACGGCACCCTCACACAGTAGAATTGTGTAGCATTGCAGGCGAAACAGAGTGAGTGAAAACTTTTATAGTGAGTAAATAGGATAAATAATATATGAAATAAGAGAAATCTAAAATTTCTGACAACACTAGGTTAAGCCATTTCTAATTTCCATCTGAAATGTTTAGGATTTCAATGAATCTCCTTCATGGTTTGTTCTTCCAGCAGCTGCTGATGTCTCAGAACCTCAGAGACCGACTGTGGATCCAGAACCAGAAGGTCCAGGAAGAATCGGCCTCTATGTTTCTCTGGCTCTGATAGCAGCAGCAGCAGCAGCTCTGATGGTCAGATTCCTCTTAATTTACTGTTTCAAAGCATCAAACTCGAACTCAATCATTTAACAGAACCCTGAAGGTTCTGAAGCTGCTGTAGGACAGATGTCCTCAGATTGGACTCTTCATTCCTTTGGTGGACAGAGGGTCTCATGGTGGACAGAAAGACGGCAAGGAGTCCAGGTCCAGTTGCTGCAAACCAAGCCCACATCATGACGCCTCCACTGCTGTGTTGACAGCTGCTGTTGGTTCTTTTTTTTTTATTTAATTTTTTTTTTAATATAAAAAAAAAAAAAGCTGCTGTTGGTTCTTATTTGGTGTGTTTGGTTCTCTGGCATTCTGACCAAACATCTGGACTTTGGGTCCATCTTTGATCCAGAAGTCTGTTGGTTCTGATCCAACTGAGCAGACAGATTTGTTTCTGCCTTCAGTGTTTTAGAGAGAAGAGATTTTCTCCTCCAGCTCCTCAGAACCAGCCTTACTTAAAACCATTAAAACCAGTAATCTGCCAAACTGCTGCTTTTCCACAGGTTCTCCCTCTGATGATGATCAGTTCAATCAGTCATTTCATTATGACCTCCTGACTGTGACCCATTCAGACCAGATGAAGGACTTTTTCACTCAATGCTTCTGCAGTTTAGTCTAAATTATTTTCAGTAAAATCAGTTGGTGAAACTTTCACTATAACTCTAACTTTAAACAAGCATTAAAATAAATTATAAAGGCTTTGATACAGAAAATGTCTGAATTCAAGACTGATTCTGGTTCTGGTGTTAATCTGCTGTAAATAAAGCGTTTTTTTTTTTTTACAAATATGTTGCCAAGACTCCAATTGCATATTGAATGTGAAATAAATGTAATCCTTTTCAAGTAATCTATTTTATAGGAATCTATCAGCTTCATAGAGCTGCAGCTTCTGATCATAGTCAAATCAACATTTAGCTCCAGATAAACTTTCAGATCAGCTGCATGTGCATTTTTTTAAGTGGAGAGGGCAGGGCTTTTCACAAATTTGTAGCCAGAGAAGCATAGAGGCTGATTCTTCCTGGACCTTGGGGTTCTGGATCCACAGTCGGTCTCTGAGGTTGGGAGACATCAGCAATACCAGCCCTTAATTCATGTATTTAAATGGTCATTACTATAGAACTTGATTCCATTTGAGTCAAAGCATCAGCAGTGCTCGCTAGCAGGCCACCAGAGCTACTGGCGACCACATTGTAAAAAGTTGTTACAAAATGGAGGCATTCAGATAACGCTCTGTGGTGAGATGGTGTTCCACCCTCTGTGCACCACGTGTAGCAATAAGCAAGCCGTTCATTGGTGGGCGGGGCAGATGGCTTTATAGCTGAGCAGGCCTCTGCGAGGTACATGTGTTGGGATCCTGAGGATTGCCCACCAGAGGGCGCCGAGGATCCTCTTCTGCTTTTTGTTTTCTTTTAGGGACTGGGTTACTGTTGGGATTTGGGGATGTACCACCTTCCACCAGCAGAGTGCGCCGTGGGTCTCCTGGGCTGGAGCCCTCCTGCACACCTGGAGCTCGTCTACTCATCAGGAGACCTGCTCTACATAAGCAGCTGCCAGACCTTCCTTCAACGCCGCAGTGTTGACCTTAGTTTGGTTAGCAACCTGAGCCTCTGATACCTGAAAGAATCTTAAGTTGTCTCACGGGAGAAAACTGGTTCTAACCCTCCTCTGTCTTTGCTCACAGGAAACCTGTCTCAAGCCTGAAGCTCTAGGTGAGCTTAACCTGCCTTCCAGCCCTGGTGAGCCAAACCTGAAGATTCCTATTTGGATTTCCCCTGCTGCTCTCTGTGAAGAGCTGGAAACTCTGATCAAGGTCTGCCATTCAAAGTCAGAAGCTAGACGCTGCAGCTGCTTGAGCACTCTGCTGAACCAACAGTCTCTGGACCCAACGGTTCCCTCTCTCACAAGAGAAGCCTGGACTCCGTCAAGGTAGACTCAGAATTAACTTAAAGGACTCATTAATCATCTGTCTGCCCAGCTAATCAAACTATCATCTCTGCAGACTTCAGTGAATCCAACCCGGACCAGTTCCAGATCCTGTTCATGTTTTTGTGTCAACAATCTTTAATAAACTCTGTTAAACTTTTACCCAGCCTCCGTTGTGTTCTGCATGTGGGTTTGAATTAAAACCATTCATGACAACATGTGTCTTTGTTTCCCCTTCATGTCGGCTGCCTAAGTGGTTGGTGTGCTTGATCCCCTCATCTGA